AATGGTAAAGTCTTTTTTAGTCCCAGTGCTCTATGAAATGGCCCTGCTCCCAGCACAGTTACACACTCCACTCTCTGGGTTAATACCCCTCAGCCTGCATGGAGATGGAGTCAGCTCTTTAGCAGCACAACACCTGGGTGTCTCCCCTCACACACCTCCCTGCACCTCTCCACATCTCCAACAGCGAGCTCACTGGCTGAGGCTGTTCACACTGATACAATAACTCATCACATCTTCTCATGAAACAGCAAGACACTGCTCTGCCAATGAGACTTTTTACAAGAGGACAGTCAGTGTGGGAATGAGTGTGAATAGCTGCTCAAAGAAACCTGTGCTATCATCCCCCTTTATTGAATAAGGGTTCTAGTTAGCATAACTAAACAACACTACCTCTATTCTAATACAGCATACAACTTAATAGTGATAAACTGCTCCTTCTGATTCCATAATGCCCACATTATGCCAAACCAATAAAGAACAGTGTGTTGACTCTAGTGGAATCGCACACTGCATTCACCCAATCCCTGGCCTTCTAAGGACACCTGAAAAGCTCTGTCACACTAAATTACACATCCCTTTCGTGAGCCGACACAGTGGAGATTGAAGAGGTCCTTGTTGCTTCAACTTGATGTGATGGACTAAAAGAGATAGTGTTGTGTTAGGAGGAGGTGGGAGGGCCACTGACAAAGGAAGAGATTACCCAGAACCCACCTCTCAACTCATCTACCCTCTCCAATCCACAGTGCTATTGTGTGAAAAGGTATGGATCCTTCCCAATACTGTGAGGAGAGACAATGCCAATGTGTATCCATGCAGCCCACCTGATTGCTGAACTGGGTCTCCAATCCCTTTGGTAAATCCTACCCAAGGGACGGGAGAGAAATATGCCAGCTCTTCATGCAAATACAAGCTACAAGCTTCAATTATTGGGGGAAGCTACACTCAGCTACACTCAAGAATCAAAGTGGAGGCTCTTGACCCAGAGCTGCCTCATCCACTTCACTTTTCGACAACAACAAAAAACAACCTCTGTTGCCATATGCTGATGCCGTCAACATAAAACTAGTATTCCCATTATCATTCTCTCCAAGTCGAATTTGTCCATCTCACACAAACAAACAGCTTGTTTTTCATGTCAAATATTGACACTCCTTTTCAGCTTGAAACATGTCATTTTACGTACTCCAACAACAGAGGGCATGCATTAGAATCACTTCCAAACAAGCAAATGGGGAAAAGTCTGTCCATTGTCATTAGTGAGTAAAGCCTAGCCTGTGTGATGGCAACCGGCAGTCTGAGACATGCAATGCATAATAACATAATGAAGCCTGCATCATCCATGAGTGTTAGTGAGTGAGTGAGTGAGTGAGTGAGTGAGTGAGTGAGTGAGTGAGTGAGTGAGTGAGTGAGTGAGTGAGTGAGTGAGTGAGTGAATGAGTGAGTGAGTGAATGCTTGCGGGTCTGTGTATAGATGTGTGCTTGCCTGCCTGTTCGAGAGAGACGAGAAAGAGAGAGATGAGAAAGAAAGAGCCAGTTGTAAGAGATGGAGAGCAGCGAAAGCGTTATACTACTATTAGTCAGCAGCGGTTGATGATGCTAATTATCCCAGTGTGTTAAATGATTACTGAGGCTGTGAGTAATTGCTTCAGCAGCCCACAGGACTCTCCAAAATGGACTTCTTTCACAACTGTCTTATCTGGAGCAGCTAAATCAGGCGAGCCAGGAAGGCGAAGGGTGGTGGTGAATAAGCCTTTGAATTTCACAGCTGCCTCACTACAACCACAAAGACCAATCGGAGTCTGTTGGGCATTTCAATAGGACTCCAGCATAGAACTGATGAAAATGAAAATGTCAACGTTCTCTTGCATGATAAGGTTTACTGATGGTGGCTGTTTGAAACGTGTGTATGTGTGTACAAAGGTAACGATTGTGCATGATTATTCTGATCACAGCAGTCAGACCCTCAGTCTTCTGCAGATGGCATCCTGTTTATACCATCTACAGTATGTATCTCAATCATGACCATACCCAATGCATTGCAGAGCTCCACGTAATACACCATGCACACATCTTACCACTGGTTGTACTTTCCAATGTGTATCGAATTATTGTTATAGTGGCTATTCTCTGCTATTCTCTATGAAATGAGACATTGGATGGAAGAGGCCCACTTACGGAGACTGTTAGCAGGTACCCTGTTGGCTTGCATGTTGTCATAGTGCTGTCCATGCACCCCAATGTCTTCTGAGTGTTCTCCTGGACCAGGCTGGCGCATCACCTGGGCTAGAGCCCTGACGAAACACAAACACCTCAATCAGCTGGTCCACTCAATAATAAAGCACGACATGGAAATCAAAATAGCTCCAAAATTACAGTAGCAGTAGCTCAAATGCTGCAAACCTCAATATATATCTGCTATTTATCGGAAATCCTTACAAGTCTTAATGTTTGAATAATGTAGACTCAAATTCAATCTAGGCCAATTAAATCAAAGCAATTATTCTCATGCTTGCATCGTGCTTGTAGATGACCTACCAATGACCAATTATCATATGCTCAAAGGGTTTTCGTTTGATATGCACAGTACCATTTATGCTACAGTGGGTTAGTGGGATCACCTTCCTTTGGGCATTGATAATATACTGTAGGTGGGATATATGACAAATGACAGTAGGGATCCCAACGCATGTTGAGACAAAGGCAGCCCACTGGGCACAGAGGTCAGTTCAACATCTAGTTTTGATTTACATTTGGTTGAGTTGTCAACTAACACAAGTTCAATATGAAATTAACAAAAAATGTCACCATGTCATTGGATTTAGGTTAAAAGTTGGGTGAAAAAAATATGAAATTCCCTTACGTTGATGACTTTTTGCAAATCCAATCAGTTTTCCATGTTGATTCAAAGTCATCACATTGAATCTTTTTGTTGAAATGATGTGGAAACAACATTGAATCAACCCATTTTTGGGGGAAGTGAACCTTGAGTGGACGCATAACGTCAAAGAATAATGAAGCTAATTAAAATGATGAAATCTAGGGCAGTGAGATAATTAAAAACAATTGCAGGTGTAATGGAGTAAAAAAAGTGGCCTTAATGTCACCATGTGGGTGTGAGATGAAATGACATCAAGGGAGATGAGAGCATGGCTCATCACACACTACTACCTACAGCACATCTGGTTTTACCAGGACATAGTGTGCTCATTATTATTAAGTATAGCGATCTCAATCATTCAGAATGAAAAGTATGACATTTTGATGGAATCTCAAGACACCAACGCAATTGGACAGGTATTCACAGCCACTCACAAATACAATATAGTAGGCTGCCTATGTATTGCCTATGTATTGCCTATGATTGCCAATCAAATTGTGGTCAAATGGACTGAGCATGTCCATTTATTCAATATTTTAACACTTTCCACTGGGCAAAAACAGGTTGAATCATGAATCAAGGTTGTTTCCATGTCATTCCAACTAACAAATCTATGTGATGTGGGAAAACTGACTGGACTTGAAAAAAGTCATCAAGGTAAGGAAATGGTAACCTAAATCATTAAGGTAACCTAAATCCAATTACATTTTTTTTTTTTTTTTTGATTTCAACCAAATGTAAATCAAAACTAGAAGTTGAACTGATGTCTGTGTCCAGTGGGTTATCACCTATTTTAACAAAACAGCATCTTTAATGCATCAAAATATTTTAAGGAAACGTCTGACACCCAAATAAAAGTTACATTCCTGCATTCATTTAGGCTATCCAAAGTTGTTACTGCATTGCGCACAGCGATAGCTGGGGTTGTTTACTATGCACACACACCTTGACATGTTTTCTCTGTGTGGACGGTGCGCCTTTTCAAGTCCAAGTTTTGTGAAAATCCCAACGAGGGCCATTATGGCAACAACTCCACATATTATATACACAATTAAGTTTGTCTTATCCTTTGTGGGGTCGTGAGTGGGGTCTTTTTTCTTAGGCGGGGGTCTGCCTGTCATCATCCACGGCGGGGTGTCATAGTTTTTACAGGTGGTCTGGTCCAGCCGCGAGCTTGTAAACTCACAGCAGAATCTGAAGCCACAGGTCCCGCAGCAGTATAGGTAACTGCCCGTCTGGCACACAAACGGCGGATCCCACTGGCCCATCACATCGTAATAACCCCGGCACTTGTCCTCTGTATGCGGACTCTCGGAAACGCTATTCTCTCCGTTCAATTTTGATTCGTTGGTACCCGTTGGTACCATAATAAAGCCGTCCAGCTTCTGCCCTGGCTCCCCCTCCGCGTCGCATTCAAGAACTTTCACCAAAAAGTAGCCAAGCAACAACCCCGCGCTTCTCATCATGTGCGTCCCTTTGTTACTTTTCTTCTCCACTGTAGACAAAGGAAAGGCGATGACCAGGTATCATAACAAGCTTGTACGCATAATCCAAGAACATGAAACACAGCCATCCGCGAGGATTATCATTATTACGCACCGCAACTTCTGCGCGTAATTGTCCATCAGCGAACGATGATGTTGTATGGGAATTTGTGTAAATGTTATATCTGTTCCAATAGCTTATAAAAAATAAAAAACCGGATGAAATCTTTAACACTGATGCGATAACAACACTTTTACAGTTGCTACAGGTATCTTGAATAGTTTTAGATCATCTCTCTGCGCTGCGCCACAGACATCCTCCGTTGACAGTCGGAGCCCTTATTGGTAGTTCACTCCAGGCAGTAGGAATATTACCGAACCGATTACCGAGAGAGTGGGAGAGTGGGGAAGAAAGATGAGGTGGAGACACTTGTGGTAGGTGGGAGAGAGACAGGCAGAAAGAGAGAGAGAGATCTGATGCATGCAATCTGTTGTTTTTATACAGAACAACATGCTCGAGCTCAGATCTCAGTTTTTCATAGTAGCCTACTGCAGGCTACAGAAAAATATCTACTGTCTTCAGACAATACAATACTGTCCGACTTTTTATTTATTTATATGCAGGGTGCATTTAAAGGGTGCATTTAAAAGATAGAGTTGCAATTTTGCTCTTGTCTGTCAAGTCAAATGTGATTTTATGCATGTTGTATTTGACTGCAATTTATAGCCAATATATTGCACCTTATTTGTATCATTATGCATTGTTCAATAGGCCACACCTATGAAAATAGCCTATAGCCCAAGCAAACAAGGTGTGATTAGTATTGGTGTGACCTTTGTCATTGCAGTACTGCAACTGTACTGTCATTTGAGGTGATAAAATATACATAATCAATACAATTCGTCTGACTACTGGGGCACAATTTTGTCAATGCATTTGATTTGTATACCTGTACATTTTGGTATTCTGAATGTATATCCCTTGATTGTACCACACACAAAAGGGCATGATCATATCATTATTTCTGTAAGACTTTTACTGTGGGTGTTGAAACCTCTAAAGCACTTGATTGTTGAGAACAACTCCCTAGTCAAAAAATCCTATAGGATTCCAACAGAAAAATCCTATTAGAATCCAAAAGTAAATCCTATCAGATTTTAGAACCTATCCTATAGGATTTTATTCCTATAGAATCCCATAGGAGTCCATTTGGACTTGTTCCAATATGTTTTTTATTTATTGGAATCCAATAGGATTTTTTGACTAGGGAGATGTTCTCAACAATCAAGTGCTTCAGAGGTTTCAGTCGTTTTTTTTTGGTATCTGTACTTTACTTTACTATTTATATTTTTGACAACTTTTACTTTTACTTCACTACATTCCTAAAGAAAATAATGTACTTTTTACTCCATACATTTTCCTTGCACCCAAAAGTATTCATTACATTTTGAATGCTTAGCAGGACAGGAAAATGGTCAAATTCACGCACTTATCAAGAGAACATCCCTGGTCGTCCCTACTGCCTCTGATCTGGCGGACTCACTAAACACACATGCTTCATTTGTAAATTATGTCTGAGTGTTGGAGTGTGCCCCTGGCTATCCGTAAAAAAATATATACAGTCATGGCCAAAATTGTTGGCACCCCTGAAATTTTTCCAGAAAATGAAGTATTTCTCACAGAAAAGTATTGAAATTACACATGTTTTGCTATGCACATGTTTATTTCCTTTGTGTGTATTGGAATAACACAAAAAAAAACAGGAAAAAAGCAAATTTGACATAATTTCACACAAAACTAAAAAAATGGGCCGGACAAAGTTATTGGCACCCTTTCAAAATTGTGGATAAATAAGTTTGTTCCAAGCATGTGATGCTCCTTTAAACTCACCTGGGGCAAGTAACAGGTGTGGGCAATCTAAAAATCACACCTGAAAGCAGATAAAAAGGAGAGAAGTTGACTCAGTCTTTGCATTGTGTTTCTGTGTGTGCCACACTAAGCATGGAGAACAGAAAGAGGAAAAGAGAACTGTCTGAGGACTTGAGAACCAAAATTGTGGAAAAATATCAACAATCTCAAGGTTACAAGTCCATCTCCAGAGATCTAGATGTTCCTTTGTCCACAGTGCGCAACATGATCAAGAAGTTTGCAACCCATGGCACTGTAGCTAATCTCCCTGGACGTGGACGGAAGAGAAAAATTGATGAAAGGTTGCAACGCAGGATAGTCCGGATGGTGGATAAGCAGCCCCAAACAAGTTCCAAAGAAATTCAAGCTGTCCTGCAGGCTCAGGGTGCATCAGTGTCAGCGCGAACTATACGTCGAAATTTGAATGAAATGAAACGCTATGGCAGGAGACCCAGGAGGACCCCACTGCTGACACAGAGACATAAAAAAGCAAGACTACAGTTTGCCAAAATGTACATGAGTAAGCCAAATTCCTTCTGGGAGAACGTCTTATGGACAGATGAGACCAAGATAGAGCTTTTTGGTAAAGCACATCGTTCTACTGTTTACCGAAAATGTAATGAAGCCTTCAAAGAAAAGAACACAGTACCTACAGTCAAATATGGTGGAGGTTCAAAGATGTTTTGGGGTTGTTTTGCTGCCTCTGGCACTGGGTGCCTTGACTGTGTGCAAGGCATCATGAAATCTGAGGATTACCAAAGGATTTTGGGTCGCAATGTAGGGCCCAGTGTCAGAAAGCTGGGTTTGCGTCCGAGATCATGGGTCTTCCAGCAGGACAATGACCCCAAACATACTTCAAAAAGCACCCAGAAATGGATGGCAACAAAGCGCTGGAGAGTTCTGAAGTGGCCAGCAATGAGTCCAGATCTTAATCCCATTGAACACCTGTGGAGAGATCTTAAAATTGCTGTTGGGAAAAGGCACCCATCCAATATGAGAGACCTGGAGCAGTTTGCAAAAGAAGAGTGGTCCAAAATTCCGGGTGAGAGGTGTAAGAAGCTTATTGATGGTTATAGGAAGCGACTGATTTCAGTTATTTTTTCCAAAGGGTGTGCAACTAAATATTAAGTTAAGGGTGCCAATCATTTTGTCCGGCCCATTTTTTGAGTTTTGTGTGAAATTATGTCAAATTTGCTTTTTTCCTGTTTTTTTTGTGTTATTCCAATACACACAAAGGAAATAAACATGTGCATAGCAAAACATGTGTAATTTCAATACTTTTCTGTGAGAAATACTTCATTTTCTGGAAAAATTTCAGGGGTGCCAACAATTTTGGCCATGACTGTATATACACTTTTAATTTTACTTTTGATACTTAAGTATATTTGAGCAATTACATTTACTTTTGATACTTAAGTATATTTAAAACCAAATACTTTTAGACGTTTATTGAAGTACTATTTTACTGGGTGACTTTCACTTTTACTTGAGTCATTTTCTATGTATGACAATTGGGTACTTTTTCAACCACTGCCAAAATGTACAGGTATACAAATCAAATGCATTGACAAAATTGTGCCCCTATCCGATAGGATTTTATTTCAGAATCCTATATTAGTCCAATAGGACTGGTTCCAAAATCTGATAGGATTTGTTTTGGGGGGAATCCTACAGGTCAAATGTTATTTAAACATTTTTAATGTAGGAGATCAGAGTTATTATTTTTTTTACAGGACAGATGTAAGTAGAGGTATGGAGACAGATATAGAGAAGGGTACAGAAAGTGCTTAAGGGCACAGACAGTCAGCCAAGGCTCAAACCCCTGTCGCCAACGGGGCATGTGGTCTGGAGTCGGGAGCTTAGACCGCTACACCAGATTCCAGCACACTGATAGGATTTTTCTGTAAGATAAGGATCCTTTAGGATTTCAATGTTTTTTTCTCCTATAGGATTTCTATTAATTTTGTTGATCGCAATTGTATAGATATTTCCATTTAATTCTAAAGGATTTATCCTCAAACCTTACCTATACACTATAGTTAACTTCACTGCTTAACATAAGGAGCACTCACCCTCCAAACCTCTTAGACAAGTACCTATGAATGTGGACAGTGGACACATGTGAACTACTATATAATAACATCATAAACAACCCTGGGAGGAAGGGAGAGAGGGAGGGATGGATGGGAGGGAGTGAGGCAGGTAGGTAGGGAGAGGGGGTGGTACAACCCTGGGAGGGAAGGAGTTGGGGGGGTCTCATTATCTTTAGGTTTTTATTTTCCTCCCACTATCCCAACATAAAGAAGGTAAAGAGAACATTATCTTTTTTTGTATGCATAGCTGACTATTATATATTAAATGAAAGAAATGCTAATATCTTTGTGTTACTATACCTAAAAATGTAATTTCCTTCTAGTTTTTATTTGCATATAAGCACTGTATAGATGCTGTGCATTCTAAGGGGACCCATTGGCTAGATCTTCGGAAGATGGACAGAAGGCCTCTGCCATTCAACACTGAGAGCGCAAGAGAAAATAATCAGTTGCGCAAGCAGTAGATTTCCTAAGCTAGTAACTTTAGCAAGCTTGTGTTGTAGTAGTGTGACAATGTAGTAGTGTGACAATGTTAGCTAGCTTGTGTTGTAGTAGTGTGACAATGTTAGCTAGCTTGTGTTGTAGTAGTGTGACAATGTTAGCTAGCTTGTGTTGTAGTAGTGTGACAATGGCGAAGCACAGCCAGGCCTGTTTGATTTAATTCATAATGTCATAAAAAAGCATTGCTCCTTTTTCACTAGAACTAGAATGGTCCGACTACAGAATATATAATGTTGGGCGCATTCAGTGATGCTATGTTTTCTGATTTTTGAGTTTTATACAAGGTGTTGTAAGATTCTTGGCCTCTCTGAAGGCCTAGTTCCTGTCCTATAGTCACGGTTCACCACTGCATATTTCTTAAACTTGAATAAATGATTGATGTAAGGTTGTAACACCAAACTTACTACTTATTGTTGGTTCAATCGTCAATGTACTCTAATTCCCCATTTGTAAAAAATAACATTAATAAAAGATCAGTTGCAAATGTGACCATCTGGGTTCATATCCT